ATTTATGAGTTGTATTTTAATTATGTTGACTTTAAGTTGTTTTTAATTAAATGAATGAATAAACTGTAAAATATTTTTTCTTAAACAGGTATAAAAATGATATTGATACGCGTTGCTCTTTTTGTACCTCTCTGCCAGAAACTGCACCGCCTCTTTTGTTATTGTTCATTTACTAAGAATTACTGGAAGGACTTTATCCATTTCATAACAACTCACTTGTATAAAGATCATCAACTGCTTTATGAACACATTATCTGGAGTTTCTTTGCAAATCACGATGAATTTGAAAAAGAAGTTTTTATAATTAACTTACTCTTAATTATTGCAAAGTATTACAGACATAAATGTAAATTCTCAGGTAAAAGACCCATTTTTTCTGTGTTTCTGAAGGACTTTGAGACTTACAAAAGAAATATTAAACACTATACGAACCAAAAGGCTGTTAGGACACTGTCAGCATGGTCACACTGTATGAATAATACCAAATTTTGTAAGCTGTTGTCACTGTTATTGATTTTTTTTAACTTTTTTTAACCCCCTGGTAACCTTTTAATTTTTTCTGGTTTATTGTTCTTCACTTCATTGTTTTTTTTATTAATTATTGCATCAAATGAATGTAATATGAACTATGTACTGTATGGATTTTTTTTGTTGTTGTGAATTGTGTTCAATAAAAAAAGCCTGCCCTGTTTCTTTGTGCTCATAAATCAAAATGTTCAGCTCATTGCATGAAATCTGAACCCTTTTTTTGTATATTTTATAATGTTTTGAAACATGAAACTTAATTTCCAAACATTTTTTACAGAAACATGAAACAGTTTCAGTTCCTTTAAAAACTTTGTTGTTTTTAATGTTTCATAGGCCCTACCTGCTTTTATTGATCCACTTATTCTACTTCTGCTTTGGCTAATTTCAGCTCCTCTTAYGCAACTTTCAGACGGTCTTTTCTTCTTTAGTGTCTCTTTTTATAGCTTTTTGATACATTTTTAAAGCCAGCATTATTGTACTTGTAGCTTTTAGTTACAATTTTGCATCTTTTCTACTTAGCTTTTTGCTACAATTTTAGCCTTTTCAGCTATTAACTGTTGTTTTACTACTTTAAGCATTTAGCCAGTTTATTTTATTTTGTTTTTCTTCATCATTTTGCTACTTTTTACATTTAGTTTGACATTTGCTGCTTTTAGCTTCCAGCTATACTTTTTGTAATTGAGCTTTTAGCTACCATAAACTACCCTTTTGAGTTTAGCTAACATTTGACTGCTTTATGCTACTTTTATGCTGCTTTTTGCTGATGCTGTTAATAATTTTATATTTTAGTTATTGTTTTGCTCTTTTGAACTAGCACTTTACTTTTAGCATTTAGTATTTTGCTGCTTGTAGCATGCATTTTCCTACTTTTAGCTGTTAGAAATGCTACTGCTGTCTTTAAAATCCAGCTAACCCTTTGATAGTTTTTAGTCTTTTGTCAATTAAGCTTTGAACTAGTTTTTGGCTACATTTACCTACACATTTCTGTAATTTTAGCTTCTAGCTACTGTTTATCTGGCCTTTTGCAACTTTTAGCTAGTGTTTTTCTAATTTTCACTACTATTTAATTCAATTTCTAGCAAGTGTTTTGCTATTTTTAGCTTTTAAATTAGCCTATTGCTATCTTTAATGTCTTGTTAGCTTTTGAATAGTTTTAGCTAGTCTTTTGTCACTTTTTAGTTTTAAACTAGTGTGTTTGTCCTTTTCACCAGTATTTTTCTACATTTAGTTTCTGTGTTTTTCTACTTTTAGCTGGTATTTGTCATACTTCAGCTGTCACTGTTTCTCCGTCTTCAGTTTTCTGCTTTTTAAAGGAGAACAGACGGAGTCCTCTCTGTTTTCTGATCGGGCCTTCTAATCATCCTGACGTGTTTCCATGACGACAGACAAACACCGCTGTTGCCAAGCGACCGCCCGTATCCATGGAGATCTGCTCTCCTGTGTCATCCGATCTGGTCCCTCTGCGTTTTCTGTCGTGTGTCAGAAAYCTGCAGCCGGCGTTGCGGTGACGCCGCAGAGCTGCAGGCGAAGCAGGTCTGAAGTGTCAGAAACGCCGCTCAGCGCGCCGTGACCGGATGACCTCATTCACTCATTCATTTCCAGCTGACTCAGCGTATTTATGTGGTTTAATTAAGCTCAAACCTTATGTTCAGTGGATTCTGATTGTTAGGCCCCATCAGTCAGACTGCCAGAACGATTCAACAGCGCCGTCCAGTGTACGTTTAGAGGAAGTGTGTTAACACGACATCAGCAACAGCCTCTGAGGGGTCAAAGGTCATAACTGTCTGAAGAATAATATTCCACAGAGGGAAAGAAAACATTTCAGACAGCTGCCAGTTTACCACACCAAATTCACCCTGAAGGTCAGACTGTGCAATCGAGAAATGAGGTCCCAGTTGGCAGGTCAAAGGTCACGGCTCGTTTGGATGGGTTGCYGGAGAAAGACAGAATGGATGTGATCGAAATTTACCCATAATGCACGGCAGGCGATGAGAGGAGGGTTGATGCAATGAGCTCGTTTTGCTGTCATTAAATCAGTGCAAGATTCAACAAAATGTCTTTTGCTAGCTCAAGCTTTCAATAAATACTATATCACTTTAAGTATTTAGGTYGCATTTTGCTACATTTAGTTTTTAGTAGCTACTTTATTATATTTAGCTTTATTCTAGTTTTTGCTGGTAGCCTTTTTGCTAAGTTTAGCTTTTACAAACTATTCATGTTTTATGAGTTATTCTGTTACTTTTAGCTATTTTCCTAACAGTTTGCTACTTTTTGTTTTAAACTAATCTGTTGCTACATTTAAAACGGTTCTGTTATTTTGATCTTTTAGCTAGCCTTTTGCTAGCTTTAGTTAAAAGCAAGTCTTTTGATACATTTAGCTTTTAGGAACTGTTCTGTCATTTTTAGCCCTTTCCTAGGTTGCTAATTTTAGCTTCAAGCTAGCATTTAGCTTTTCAGTACTCTTTGCTGCTTTTAGCTAGCTTTTTAACTTTTTGGGGGGGGTAGCCTGTCGCTACATTTAGATTTTACTAACTGCTCTGTTACTTTGAGCTTTTAGCTAGCCGATTGCTAGTTTTAATTTTGAGTTAGCCTTTATGTGCATTTAGTTTTTATGAACTGTTCTGTTGCTTTTAGCTTCTAGCAAGGCTTTTGATACTTTTAGCTATCCTACTACTTTTTTTATTAGTTTCTTTTACATTTAGCGAACCTATACGACATGGCGACATGACCTAAGTTGGGAAAGTGTCATCTGAGGGAACCACAATTTAAGTTTACCCATAATGCACAGCAGCAAACCAATTGTCAAGCACAGCGTTGGTTGATGCAATGGGCATGTTTTGCCATCATTAAATCATTCACAAAAACATCAAATTTGTATCATTTTATCTTTATTTCCTTTCAAAAAATGGGATGTAATAATTTACCCTTTATTTTGGAACGCAAACAGCTAGTTGTAGTTTTAAGCTAACCTTTGATACATTTAGCTTTTAGGAACAATTGTTATTTTTAGCCCTTTTGTAGTTTGCTGATTTCATGTTTAAGTTCGTATTTTATTACTATTAGCTTCATTGTACTATTTGCTGCTTTAGCTATCATTTTAAATATGTTTTTGTTTTGTTAGGGAGTCTGTTGCTATATTTAGATTTTATTAACTGATCTAGTGCTTTGAGCTTTTAGCTAGCCATTTGCTAACTAGTTTTAAGCTAGCCTTTTTCTGCATTTAGACCCCAAACCCAAACCAGTGGTTATTCCGTATGTTGCGGGTGTTTCGGAGAAACTGAGACGTTTATTTTCTAAACATGATGTCCCAGTHGCTTTCAAACCCCAAAACACATTACGGCAAAGGCTGGTTKACCCCAAAGATCCGGTGCCCCGGCACAAACAGAGCAATGTTGTATATGCTGTTAAGTGCCAGGAGGACTGCGACCAGTTATACATCGGGGAAACAAAGCAGCCACTGTTCAAAAGAATGTCCCAACACAGACGAGCTACATCTAATGGCCAGAACTCTGCAGTTTTCACTCATTTACAGGCCAGCGGTCACTCTTTCAGAGATGAGGATGTTCTCATTCTTGATAGAGAGGAACGTTGGTTTGAGAGAGGAGTAAAAGAAGCCATTTTTGTGAAGAAAGACCGTCCATCATTAAACAGAGGTGGAGGCCTCCGTTTTCAGTTGTCCCCCTCCTACAGCGCGGCCATTGCCAGTATCACTCCACCCCCTGTTAACAATAAGTGTTAATTAGGTGTCAACGATAGCCATGTGATGTGAGTATCAGTCACATGGAGGCAGTGCTTAAAAGCCTGAATTTTGCCTGAAACTCTCAGACTGAAGAAGTCTCTTGGAGAAGAGACGAAACGTTTCATTAGAGAAGAACCCGTCCAGAAGACCTATACAATTTTTTTCTTTTTGTTTTCTGCATTTAGTTTTTACAAACCGTTCTGTTGCTTTTAGCATCTAGCTAAGCTTTTGGTACTTTTCGCTACCCTGCTACTTATTTTAATTAGCCTGTTTTTTTACATTTAGCTTTAGCTAACCTGTTAACGACATGAGAGCAAACTTTTATCATTTCATTTTTATTTTCTTTCAAAAAAGATGTAATAATTTAAAAATTATTTTGGAACACAAAAACAAACAAACCAACAAACAAAGAAATATTTACTTCCTGGTTTTGCAAAGTTGCATCACTCTAAACTGCTGTCCTTCTGTTCACAGCAGCGCCTCCTGGTCTGTGTGAATCTTTTTATTTTTTACCTTCGTTAAGCTCGCAGACAAAAATCTGCTCACGCTGCTACGTTTTACAAACAAAAATGAAGTCCTGAACCAGACTTGAAAAAGACTCGTTCATCCAAGAATAAAAGACTTAAAACGACAACAGAATTCATTTTGAGGTTTTGAAAAAATAAAACGGAACCATTTGAGCCTCCAAGTAAACTGTTAATTCTTCAAACTGACTTCTTCCGGGTCAAGCAGACACGTCTGCGCGATGGCCTTCGTCACGGCGTACGGGTCGCAGTTGGCCGCTGGTCGGCGGTCCTCGAAGTAGCCCCTCCCATCCTTGCCCACCTCCCGGGGGATGCGGATGCTGGCGCCTCTGTTGGCCACGCCGGCGGAGAAGTCGTCGATGCTGGAGGTTTCGTGGAGGCCCGTCAGGCGCCTCACGTTGTCCTCGCCGCCGCGTGGGTCGTACATGCGGATGTGCTCTTTGTGTTTCTTGCTCAGTCTCTCGATGGCTTTCTCGATGTGCCTGCCGTAAGACGGAAACACCGTTAGCCACGTTAGCTTCGGTTAAACCAAGAAAATCCAGACTTTTATTCTGAAAATAATCTGAAGATTACATAATATCAAATGTTTAGACTGTAAACTGTGTAAGAAGAGTAAAAAAAGCTGTTGCCAGTGCCATGGTAACCACACACCTTTGTCTCTCACTCCCTGACAACAGTTTAATAGGACAGAAAACACAACCAAGAAAATAAGACTCAAACAGAAATGCTGAGCACTTCAGCATTTGCTGAAAAAGCTGAATTGTCAAAGCTTAAAAAGGCAGAAAATTAGCTAAAGCTAAAATGAGAAAAACTTAGCTAAAAAAGGAGCAAAATGCAAAGGTGGCTAAATGCTACATAAATACTTGCCAAAAGGAAAAAAAACACCAACTCAAAGCAACAAAAAGCAAACTAAAAGCTAGAAGTAGCAAAACAAAAGTAAAGCAAAACAGCACCTAAAAAAATTAAATCTAGCAGCAAAAAGTAGCAGAAAACTAGCTAAAAGTAATGAACGGCTAGCTAAAAATGACAAGTAACAAAAGGTTAATTTAGAGCTAATAGCAGCAAACGAGAAAAAGGTTAGCTAACAGCAAAAGGTAGCAAGAGTTCAGATAAAATTAGCAAAAGCCCAGCTGAAAGCTAAAAGTAATGAAACGTGAACCAAAAGCTAAAAGTAGCAAACAGTAAATGTTTCATAAAGTTGGCTAATAGCTAAACGTAACAGCGCTTTAGCGAAAATTAGCAAAATGCTAGCTGTAAAACTAAAAGTAAAAGGCTGTTGCAAAGCTAAAAATAGCTAAACAGCTTTAGAAGTATAAAAAGTTTAGCTAAAACTAGCCAAACGGCAACTAAAAGTATCAAAAACTTAGCTAAACGTAGTAAAAAGGGCACCTGAAAACTAAAGTAACAAAATGCTAACTAAAAGCTAAAAATAATATGAACATAAATGAAGTCAAAAATAGAGCAATAAAGAACCGCCCTCCAACATTTTTGAATAAATTAGAAATATCTTGATATAATTCTATGGGGGAAAATATTTGTAAATAAAGTAAAATATGTTGAAAAGCATGAAACCTGCTAAAAACCAAGAAACACAGCAACTCCCTCCTGATTTAACCAGTCATTTTGATGCGAATGGCTAAAATACACAAGGTATACAAAAGCGGTTAGATTGGAAATTAAAAAAAACTATTGTAAAAGTACAAAGATCATAAAACTTTAATGCAAATGCTGAATTTCAGCATTTCAATAATTGCCATTTTGACATGACGAAAGAATTGTGGGTGTTTAAAGATGAAGACTGAAGAATAACTTTAAGGATTGAGAGCTCTAAAACCTTTTATAAATACATTTAATTCAACACTTCTTCCATTGTACAAATCTCCTAGTTTTTTATTTATTTGTGTATATATTTTCAGCACCCAGAAAGAAATAATATTCTGGATATTCTGAAAATCAAACCACGACAAAATACGAAATAAGCCCACAGGAAAGTAATAAATGTCTTTTATTGGTTAAACATGAACTCCCGTAATAAACATTTACTCACTGGAGTCCTCCTTCCTCCCTCATCTGCTTCGTGCTGATATTTGTGTGGCAGCCGGCACCGTTCCAGTTGCCTTTTATCGGTTTGGGGTCCAGGGTTGCAACTATGCCGAAATCCTCACACACACGATGCAACAGGAAGCGTGCCACCCACAGATGGTCACCCATCTCGATGCCTTCGCAGGGACCCACCTGGAACTCCCACTGAAGTTTGACGATGTGAAAAAACGAGCGCGAACGTGAGAAACAAAAAAACAAAACGGTTTGTTTTCAGCACGTCGTAGTCAAAACTTACCTGAGAGGGCATGACTTCTGCGTTGGTGCCGTAGATTTTAACTCCAGCGTAGAGGCAGGCCTTGTAATGGCACTCCACCACATCACGTCCATACGCGTGGTCTGCTCCCACCCCGCAGTAATAAGGACCTAAATGTGGAGGGAAAACAATACGTTTAGAAAAATGGGTGAATAAAAAAACTTTGACCACTTTAAGCGCCACCTTAACGTCACCGATTTACAGGAAAAAAAAGTAAATTACCAAGCATATGGCAAAGTTCCATGTTAAAAAACAAAGGGAAAAAAATGGACAGCATCAATATCGATGAGCTAACGGCTAAGTTAAATGAAGTGGCTGAAGTGGACTGACTAGTTTCAACCCAGTTTAGTCGCAATAATCTCCAAGTTCATGAAAAAGCTGTTTTATAAGCATTTACATTGTCATTAAGTTTGAATTACATAGTAATACTGGTGACATTTTGATGCCCCTGGTGCTCAAAAATGTTAAATCTAACTGCTTCCATTTGTGTTTAAAAATTGCCAAAAATTTTATGGATATATGTAATATAAACTAATCAAAAAGAAAAAAATTGTATAGGTCTTCTGGACGGGTTCTTCTCTAATGAAACGTTTCGTCTCTCCTCCAAGAGACTTCTTCAGTCTGAGAGTTTCAGGCAAAATTCAGGCTTTTAAGCCCTGCCTCCATGTGACTGATACTCACATCACATGGCTATTGTTGACACCTAATTAACACTTATTGTTAACAGGGGGTGGAGTGATACTGGCAATGGCAGCGCTGTGGGAGGGGGACAACTGAAAACGGAGGCCTCCACCTCTGTTTAATGATGGACGGTCTTTCTTCACAAAAATGTCTTCTTTAACTCCTCTCAAACCAACGTTCCTCTCTATCAAGAATGAGAACATCCTCATCTCTGAAAGAGTGACCGCTGGCCTGTAAATGAGTGAAAACTGCAGAGTTCTGGCCATTAGATGTAGCTCGTCTGTGTTGGGACATTCTTTTGAACAGTGGCTGCTTTGTTTCCCCGATGTATAACTGGTCGCAGTCCTCCTGGCACTTAACAGCATATAAACAGAGCAATGTTGTATATGCTGTTAAGTGCCAGGAGGACTGCGACCAGTTATACATCGGGGAAACAAAGCAGCCACTGTTCAAAAGAATGTCCCAACACAGACGAGCTACATCTAATGGCCAGAACTCTGCAGTTTTCACTCATTTACAGGCCAGCGGTCACTCTTTCAGACATGAGGAGGTTCTCATTCTTGATAGAGAGGAACGTTGGTTTGAGAGAGGAGTAAAAGAAGCCATTTTTGTGAAGAAAGACCGTCCATCATTAAACAGAGGTGGAGGCCTCCGTTTTCAGTTGTCCCCCTCCTACAGTGCTTCTATTGCCAGTATCACTCCACCCCCTGTTATCAATAAGTGTTAATTAGGTGTCAACGATAGCCATGTGATGTGAGTATCAGTCACATGGAGGCAGGGCTTAAAAGCCTGAATTTTGCCTGAAACTCTCAGACTGAAGAAGTCTCTTGGAGGAGAGACGAAACGTTTCATTAGAGAAAAACCCATCCAGAAGACCTATACAATTTTTTTTCTTTTTGATTTTTTACCTGGATTACTGAGATGCATCAGGACAATATAAACTATTATTAATATCCAGACAATCAATATACAGCTTTGCATGAACCGCTATAAAATTTTTATATTTAAGTTGTTTTAAGACATCAGAATTGCCCCTGGTGCTCAAAAATGCTAAAGCTAACCGCTACTGTTTGCGCCTAAACATAGTCACAATAGTTGATAGTATTTACTGTATGTAATACAAACTATTATTAATATACAGGTTATCAAAATATGGTTTTGCATGAACTGCTATAAAATTTCTGAAGTTAAAGTTGTTTCAAGACATTATGAATCTACTTTTAGCAGGCCTTTTAACAAGTAGCCATTAGTTTGTAGTCACAAGTTAACCATATTTTGACAAACTTGTGCTTAAAAAGTTATTTAGATAAAATATAACCTTTCCACAGAAACCTAGTTTAAAAGATCTGAATTATTGCTTCAAACTGATATTTTTCTAGATTCTTTCCACAGCTAGCTGCGCTACAATGCTAAAGCTAGCACTACATAAACCAACAAATGGGGATTTGGTTTAAGCTACATTATTTCAGTTGTTGTCTCTACATTTTTCTAGTTAGACTAAACAGCACAATTTAAACAAAAAATAATAATAAGAGTTTATTTTATTAGATTTTTAAAGTAAATTTATTTTCACTATGATGGAAAATGGTTACATCCTTCAGGCAGTGCTTCACTTTGCGCTCCTAACTAGATACCAGAATAAATGTGAATATAGGTTTTTTAAGTGGTGGGCACAGTTAACCACAAATGCTAGCTTCACTATCTCTTATTATGATAACTAAAAATATTGCTTTGCTAATGCTAAACCCCTAAGCAGAAGCTAACAGCTATGCTATCCACTAGACTGAGTCACTTTAAGTCTTTTGAGCTTAAGACTGGTAGGACTGACGCAAACCTGTTGGTTTTAGCTTGACTTAAAGTTGGCAAAAGCTAATTGGTCCGCTAACGGTTTTCAAAGTTAGTGAAGAAGCTGATCTGCCAAACAAAAACACGTGTTTCACTATTAGCTGCTAGCATATTAGCAAAACTATGCTCAAAACAGTTTTTTTATTTCAAACGTTAGGCAAGACTTGTTTGTATTTTTACTTTTCAAACTTTATTTAAATAGTTAAACCCATTAAGCAGATGGTTAGTTTATGGTTTTAGGTGTGTTAGCATTAATTTGGTGATCTTGACCAGGAAGCTGGAAACCATTGATAGGTTGAAAATGAGTGATGGGCTTCAGATGCTCTTTGTTTGTGAATATAAAATAATTCTTCTACAAAAATCAATGTGATCTGTACTTAAGATGAAGATAAAAGATCAGGTTCACCCTGCGGAGCTGGGAATCCGTTGGTGGGCCAACTGAAAGGACATCCATCTATTCCTAGAAGCGTGTACTCCTGCTCCATCCCAAACCACAAGCTGTGCTCTTTAATCTTCTCCATCACGTCTTTGCAGCTGTTCCGATGGTTCGTTTCTGAAAAAGCAGAAAAGAAGAAACCCATCAGAGGATGTTTACTACTCTGACCTTACTGACAGAGAAAGGACAAGCATACCAGCAGGTAGGCGGTTGTATTTGAGAACCTCACAGAGGACGAGTTTGTTCGGGTCAAGGGTGAACGGGTCTCTGAACATGTGAACTGGAACCAGGTACATGTCGCTGTTGGAGCCTTCAGCCTGGGAGGTGCTGGACCCATCGAAGTTCCACTCGGGGATATCTGACGGTGCAGAAAAAAACCCATCAAATTTACCAAACTGTCGAGGTACGTCTGTAAACCGTCGACCAAACGATGAGTTGTCCTGATGCATCTCAGTAATCCAGGTAAAAAATCAAAAAGAAAAAAATTGTATAGGTCTTCTGGACGGGTTCTTCTCTAATGAAACGTTTCGTCTCTCCTCCAAGAGACTTCTTCAGTCTGAGAGTTTCAGGCAAAATTCAGGCTTTTAAGCCCTGCCTCCATGTGACTGATACTCACATCACATGGCTATCGTTGACACCTAATTAACACTTATTGTTAACAGGGGGTGGAGTGATACTGGCAATAGCCGCGCTGTAGGAGTGGGACAACTGAAAACGGAGGCCTCCACCTCTGTTTAATGATGGACGGTCTTTCTTCACAAAAATGGCTTCTTTTACTCCTCTCTCAAACCAACGTTCCTCCCTATCAAGAATGAGAACATCCTCATCTCTGAAAGAGTGACCGCTGGCCTGTAAATGAGTGAAAACTGCAGAGTTCTGGCCATTAGATGTAGCTCGTCTGTGTTGGGACATTCTTTTGAACAGTGGCTGCTTTGTTTCCCCGATGTATAACTGGTCGCAGTCCTCCTGGCACTTAACAGCATATACAACATTGCTCTGTTTGTGCCGGGGCACCGGATCTTTGGGGTGAACCAGCCTTTGCCGTAATGTGTTTTGGGGTTTGAAAGCCACTGGGACATCATGTTTAGAAAATAAACGTCTCAGTTTCTCCGAAACACCCGCAACATACGGAATAACCACTGGTTTGGGTCTGGGTTTGGGGTCTTCATTTTCACCTGATCCATGCAACCTTCAGGTGAAAATTAAGACCCCAAACCCAGACCCAAACCGTATGTCCGTATGTTTCGGAGAAACTGAGACGTTTATTTTCTAAACATCATGTCCCAGTGGCTTTCAAACCCCAAAACACATTACGGCAAAGGCTGGTTCACCCCAAAGATCCGGTGCCCCGGCACAAACAGAGCAATGTTGTATATGCTGTTAAGTGCCAGGAGGACTGCGACCAGTTATACATCGGGGAAACAAAGCAGCCACTGTTCAAAAGAATGTCCCAACACAGACAAGCTACATCTAATGGCCAGAACTCTGCAGTTTTCACTCATTTACAGGCCAGCGGTCACTCTTTCAGAGATGAGGATGTTCTCATTCTTGATAGAGAGGAACGTTGGTTTGAGAGAGGAGTATAAGAAGCCATTTTTGTGAAGAAAGACCGTCCATCATTAAACAGAGGTGGAGGCCTCCGTTTTCAGTTGTCCCCCTCCTACAGCGCGGCTATTGCCAGCATCACTCCACCCCCTGTTAACAATAAGTGTTAATTAGGTGTCAACTATAGCCATGTGATGTGAGTATCAGTCACATGGAGGCAGGGCTTAAAAGCCTGAATTTTGCCTGAAACTCTCAGACTGAAGAAGTCTCTTGGAGGAGAGACGAAACATTTCATTAGAGAAGAACCCGTCCAGAAGACCTATACAATTTTTTTCTTTTTTTCAAACGATGAGTGTTTTTTGTTACCGTCTATGCTGCGAGGCTCCATGTCCAGAGTCCTGGTCTTGTTGCGGAGCCCCTCTCCGGTGCCGTCGATCCAGATGTAGGTGACCTGGCACTTCTGCCCCTGAGGCAGGCTCATGTACTGCTGGCGCACGGCCTTGTTGAGGCGCGAGCTGACGGACAAGGACGCCATTTTGTCCTAGTGCAATCAGAGCGGGTCAGAGACTTCAGAAACTCCGAAATGTCAGTCTGCTGTCGACGAAAGTTCACCTAACAATTAAATACCAAACCAGTCGGGCGTAAGAATTCAATCAAATAAATCAGTATTAAATATTGCGATATTTAATTTTTCAATACTGCATTGATTTTTAATTGAGGCTTATGGACGTAAGAAGAAATTTGAAAAATAAATCTGATTCAGTGTTCTTCTGATTTAATAAAAATACTGAATTTATTCAGATTTCGTGCTCTTAATACTGACTTTTTATAAATTAGACTCTTGGAGAAAAAATGGCGATATATCGCCTTGCTAACAGTATTGCGATATATCGCGATATTAAATTTTTTGATATTGTATTGATTTTTAATTGAGGCTTAATGGACGTAAGAAGAAATGTGAAAAATAAATCTGATTCAGTGTTCTTCTGATTTAATAAAAATACTGAATTTAATCAGATTTCGTGCTCTTTATAATGCATTTTTATAAATTAGACTTCGGAGAAAAAATGGCAATATATTGCCTTGCTTACAGTATCGGGATATATCGTAAACTATATGTCCTATCACCAAATTCTTGCCAATTTACAGCCCTACAAACTGGTGACATTTTGTTTATAGTCCTGCTCTGTTTACGTCATTCTCTTCATGTTTGTTTTGTCTACATTTATATTTAACTTGTAACGAAAAGCTGAGCCGGAGAAAATGAGCTGTTTAAAAACAGTAATAAAAACTTGTAAATGTCACAAATGGGTACTTATATTTAGCTTTAAACATATCAAGAATATTKCGTTCACTCCAAAGAATTACTCCAAACATCTTTGGAAATAAAATTTTAAAAGGTAATTTAAAATTTGATGTTTTGTTGTTTAAACTAGATTTTGAAAATCTGATTTAATCCACAGAAAAATCAAWGCTGGGAAATGAAAGCAGTATTTCCTTGAAGAAACATATACCAACCTCTGCCTTGAAGTTTTTAATATCTAAGGCGATCTGTTAGCACTCAAAGTATGACAGGGACAAGCCTCAGCTACTACCACACAGAGTTTTTGGACCATATTTGTAAAAATGGTAGYGTTATAGACATTTCTGGTTAGGGCTACTGTAACCTGACCCTTTGCTATGACTGATTAGCATCTTTTATTAATCAGCTCTAGATGTTCCTGAAAGCTTCAATAAATCTGCTGACATGAGACAAATAAAGACATTATTAAAACGTAAAGACAAGTTAAAAAAATTAAAATATAAATATAGGACGTACGGTGAGGCAGGAAGATGCAGTCCAGCTGACAGGTCCCGGTGTGACGAGTCTGAACCGGTTGGAGGTATATAGGCGAGTCGATGACGTCATGGCACTTCTGCAACTCAAGGAGTGGTTTTCAGCTTTTGTTTTCACTTCACACATCGGGTTGTTAGGATGAAGTCTCTACGAGTCAGTTTGTCTACTTTATAGAGCAAAACAAACCATTTGTTCACTTTAGAATAAAGATAAAAACTGAACAGAAAAAGACTTTTAGTCCAATCAGAGCTTGTTCAGCTGTGATAAACCCTCCTGAGAGGCGCTAATGAACCTTCTGGTGACTGACCGCGGTTTGCTGAGCCGAGTTTTTCAGCTCGCTGAACAAAATTCAACAACTCGGACAGAAAAAAAAAAGCTCAGGCTCAGACCTCAAGAGGCAGTAAACAAAAACAAAACAGTGAACCGGTCTGAGTAAAATGCATTAGAGTTCAGTTTTGACATCTGTTCGCAATAACTCATTTTTAACAGCTATTGGACCAAAACGTTGGTGTGGGAGTAGCTGAGAGTCATCCATAAGATTTATTCTGAGCACTAACACACTCTGACACCTCAGGCTGTAGCGTCAGAAGAAAGGCAAATCACTCATCTGGAAATGCTTGTTGTTGTTTTCAAGGCGTTTCAAAACTAGTTTAATGACGCACGGTGAATGTCAGCAGACAGGTCCGACACACTTAGACGCCTTTTTATAAACACGTTAAAAATAACATGACTGTGGAAAGAGTCAAAATGAAAAAAAAAGGTTGAAATTCTTGGAAGAACTAAACAAAGAGTATCTCTGAAACTCTTCACCCAAGAGTGATGATGTGTATTTGTTACCCACTGGACAGATTTTATCCAAACTTCAGCTCATTAACATTTGGAACCAACTCAGATCAAGATGGCTGCTATGAAATGACTGTAATTAGGTCAATGTTTCATAGTGGGTCATTTAAAAAACAGACTTCAAGAGCTCCTCGTTCTACAAGATCTGTGCCTAAAAGTGAAGCATTAACTGTTTAAGTTAAATAATCTGTGAGCAAAAATATTCCAGGAACGACAGAACTTAGTTTAAAGAGCTCACAGGAAAGTAGAGAGTTTAACCTTTGATTCAATTCAGGATGATTTGATTCAGTTCATAACTTTGATTCAACATAACAGATTCAACTCAAGCTCATTTTGATTCAATTCAGAATAACCTTTGATTCAATTCTGCATAACTGACTTAATTCAAGCTAACTTTGATTCAGTTCATGAGAACTTTGATTCAATTCATGAGAACTTTGATTCAGTTCATGAGAACTTTGATTCAGTTCATGAGAACTTTGATTCAGTTCATGAGAACTTTGATTCAGTTCATGAGAACTTTGATTC